TTTTTTATAGAATGTCTATAAAAATTTAAAATTTTACAGAATAATAATATTACAAAAAATAAAATAACCAAAAATAATTTTAATATCATAAAATTATAAAATCAAATTTATACTTAATATTTTATAAAAAAATTTATACATTAAAAATAAAATTAATAATATTTTTAATCTATATTTTATATTATAAATTTTTTATATTGATGTAATTGATTTTTAGTTTTTTTAAGCTTATTAACAAAGCCTATAAAATACATATATTATTTTATCTTGAATTTATTATTTTAAATAATATGATTTACATAAAAAAACTAGATATAAATTTATTTATATTTAATTGTTCTAAAAAAAGATTTTAAATATTTAAAACTATGTCTTTTATTATTAATAAATGTTAAAAATAATGACCTGATTAAAAGAAGAAATTAATGTTAACTTTTTATTAATATTTTATATTTAATAAGGTGTTTCTTCTGATTATAAATATAAAATATATTTATATTAAAAGCAATAGAGAGCCTAAAAGCCGAATAATTACTCAGTTATTAATAACATAAAATAAAATTAGTCTAATTATCATCTAAAAATCAAGAATTAGTTTAAAAATCGAATAAGTTGTCATTTAAAAACCATTATTAATCTTTATTAGATAAAATCCATATACTCGAATTAAATCTAATATATAAGATAGAAAACGAAAAGAAAAATTATAATATTTTATATTAAAAAAATATTAAAAAAATAATAATTATTAAATATCATTATGATATAAACATTAAAATATTTAATTCTTTTACAAATATATATATATATATAATATAAAATAATAAAATAAAAAAAAAAAAATTCAAATAGATTTATTAAAAAATATCTTAAATTTTAAGATAAATATATGTTTAGGAATATCCTATTTATTTTATATTATTATTATAACTTTTTATAATGTAGGAAAAATAAAAATTCACTTTTCTGATGTGCTTATGGGACTTTATTATTTATTATAAGTGTTTAATAATTGGGAATGTATTTTATTATATTAAAAAAAATATTATTAAAATTTATATGGTAAAAAAAAATTAATAAATAAATATTTCATATTTAGAAACTGAAATGAAATATAGTTTAAATCCTTTTTAAAAAAATTAAATTAATTCTTCTCTTAATTTGAGATTATATTTTTATTTATAAACTTAAATTAAAAAATAAAATAAAAAAAATATCTTTTAATAAAAATAATTATTTATAATTATTAAAAAAATATATCTTTTCTAAATAAAAATAAATGATAATGGCTTAAATTTTTTTAATTCTATTTTTTAAAATTATATTAGCTATTTATTATATTTACAGTATTAATTTCTGGTTTTGTTTTATTTATATTTTTATTTTTTCTATATAATAATTTTTTTATAAAATACGTACTTTATATTTATTTTTGTCATTTTAAATATAATATATATAATTCTATAAAATATTTTTTTTTTCTTTATTAAAACTATATGTTTTTTTATTTATTAATATTTTTTTATTATATTTCATGAATTTATATTTTTATAGTAATATTTTTCGTTAAAATATCTTTCTATAATAATAATAACTTTTAATTCATTTTTTTTGTTATTATTTTATTTAATTTATCAATTAAATTTAGTTATTGATTTCTATTAATCTTTTGATATCTTTAATCTATTTTATATAATTATTTTGTTAAATCCTTTTTTTATTTTATTTTTAGAATCAAAAATTATATATAAAATAAAATAAGAAAACTAAATACAAAAATAATTTATAAATATATAAAAATAAATAATAATTTTTTTTATCATTAAAACCTTAAAAAAACTTATATTAATATAATTTTTATTTTTTGTTTCTTTGTATTTAGTTTATTTTTTATTTTTGTTATTAATTTATTTATTATAGATTTTTATGATTTTATATTATTTATTTATAGTTTTTTATGATTTTTTTTTATTTATTAGTTTTTTTTTTATAATTAATTTTTTATTATATAGTTTTATAGGATTTTTTTTTTATATCTCAGTTTTATTGTTTTTAACTTATAATTAATTTTTTTATTTTGTGATTATAATTTGTTCTATACTATTTTTTATATTTTATAAATTTATTCTAAAAAATCCAAAATTTATTTTATTTTTAGAAATTAAAATTACAGAAAATTCCGAATAAAAAATAAAATATTGTTCTTATAAAATGATATATAAATAAATATAAAAACTTACATTTTTAATAAAATAATGGACTAAATAAAAACATGAAAACTATCGTTATTGTTCTTAATAATATTAATATAATAATCAAATCATAATTAGAATCATAAATATAACAACCATAATAATAATCATAATCACAATCACGATCATAATAATAAGAAGATAAAAGATTAAAAATGCTTATATTAATAAAAGTAAAAATATATGTCTGATCTATAGATATAGATAGAAAAGCTTCTACAAATTTAAAAAATCTTAATTTTTTTTTTTTTTATGAAACTAAAGATGAAGTAGTTTCAGAGGCTCTTAAAAAAATAACGATGGTTTTAATAAAATATTAGAAGAATTAATAAAAAAGATGATAAATTAAATATTTTTACTAGTGGTTATTCTATAGAGTTAATAATTAGATTAAAGTAAAATCTTCTGAATAAGAAAAGGCTGAATGGGTGATTAAAACTGCTATTGAAATTAGATTTATAATGTTGATTTTGTAAAATACTTTCCTGGTGATGAATAAATATAAAAAACTAAAATAATCTAATAGCTATAGCAGTTAAAGATGCTTAAAAAAAAGACAGAAATGATTTTAAAAGATATCTAATATTGCGTTGAAAATTTAAAAAGATTTTCTGTTGATAATCTAGATAATAATAGTTATAATATAAAAGTACTTGTAAAAGTAGAATTTAATAAAAATAAAAAAATTAAAAAATAATAAAAAAAAATTAAAACATTAAATATTATTTTTTACTTATAAAAATAAATCTTAATATATATTTTAAAAAAGAATTATATTATATTTTATTTAATTTGATTTTTATTTAAATAAAATTTATATTAATTAACTAGTGAATTATTTTTATAAAATATTTATATTACAAAATTATAAAAAAAAATTGTAAATTATATATTATATATTATATATTATATATTTTTTTTAATTTTATATATTTATAATAATATTTTTATTTAATAATACCTAATTTTTTATATTCTTTAACATAAAAATATAAATTTTAATTTTAATTTAATATAAATTATTAATATAATCTTTTATTATTACTTATTTTATTTTAAAATTAATTTTACTTTATTTACAAAATATAATTTATTTTATAAAATTATTTTTAGATATATATTATAATATTTTTAATTTTTTTTTTTATTTTATATTATTTTTTAATAAAGATTATTCTATTTATAGTTATGATATAAATAAAATATAATTTTTATATTTTTTAAATTTTTAATTTTATATATATATATATTTAATAAAAATATTATAAAATACATATTAAATAAGAATATTTTATAAATATTATTAAAAAACTAAAAATTTTTTTTTTTTTTTATATTTATTTTATTTCTTAATATCTTAGATTTTTTTTTTATTATTTATTATACATAATTTTTTTTTTCTTTTTTATTAATTTTCTATTATATCATATTAAAATATAATTTATAAAAAATTAATATTGAAAAATAAATTATAATTATGTAAATATTTTTTTTTAATTCATATTTTAATAATAAAACCTTTTTATTTTTTAATATATAAATCTTTTAATTTTTTAATTTAATAGTATTTATTTATTTTTATTTTTATATTATTTATTTTTTTTATTTTTATATTATTTATCATATTTTTTTTTTATACTTTTTATTTTATTTTTAATTTTTTTTTATTCTATTTTATTAATATATTTTATATAATAATCAATTTATTTTGGTTTTTAATGCTAAAATTATTGAAAATTTCACATAAAAAATAAAATAAAATATCTCTATAAAAA